AAAATTGGGTCAAAATACCATCCTGATGTTATCAGTATCTTTTATTTATTTGTTTAAATGGGAAATATACATTGCATGCATATATTGGTGTTATACAATATGAATTTTTGAAAATGCATAGGGTTACAGTATTAAGAAAAGTCAGTCATGAGAAGGATGGAAAATTAAGAGCCTGAGGTGCCTGCTAGCCAGAGAAAGGAGATTTTCAAGTTTGGGTTGAGGTTTGGAAATCCCAGTGCTGTGAGAGAAAGCAGCATCCGCAGGGCTGAAAGTTTCTTGTTTTGATTAATCACAGGCTGGTAACTCCAGCAAAGGAAGTTTGAGGGCCCTCAGAACAATTAGGTGGTTCAGCAGCTAGAAGTGGTAAGATCAAGATGGCGAAGGAAGAGCAAGTACCAGCCTCGGTGGGTGGAGCATGGCTGGTGTTTCTCCCACGGTTTTCAAAGGTTGGAGGGATTTGCCCACCTTTATTTACCAACAAAATGAATCAACTGGGAGCAAAGGAACAAGGACACGGATGGAAGAGTTTGGAGTAACTAGAGAAAGATGTCAGGAAGAGGAGGGACTAGATTTGGTAGCCGGAAGGGCTCTAAGGTTGTAAGGTTCATACTCTGATGGCCAGAGTTCACAGCAGCCAGAGGAAGTGCTGGGTTGAGAGAGGGTCACAGTGTAAGACCTCCCTGGAGCTGATAGCCCAGGGGGAGTGTCACCTCAGATGGCAGAAGGCGTGGGGTCAGCCTGGAGCATGTGGGATGAGGAGTGCCTTTCTAGAACTCTAGTGGTGCAGCAGGCACCCCATCCTCTGTTCCACACCTGGAGACTAATCTGGAGTCTATGCTCTGTGTTTTATAGACATGAGTATATCAGTGGATATTACAGAGTGTCTTCCTACTTCTTTGGAAAACTGATATCTGATCTCCTACCCATGAGGTTTTTGTCAAGCGTTTTATTCACTTGTATATTATACTTCATGTTAGGTAAGTAACAGGCCAAATGAAAATGCCTTTAGTCTGGGATGTGACGTGAAGCTAATTTCTCTGTGTATATTTTTATTTACCTTTTTCTATGTGTCTATATAAAGAGACAGAAAAATTTAATAACTACACATACTCTGATGCATATTCTCGAATAAGAAAACCATGTTGAGTTTGTGGGGGTTATTTATTTACTAAAAAAATAAGTCACTGACAGATATAGACAGATTTATTTTTACATTATGCTCAGGATTTGACCTTAGAATCGCTGCATCAAAATTTCCATAATTTTCACTGATATACGAAATATATACTACATGCATACATACTAGTAATTCTATTTTTACGAAGCACTATAGTGTGAGAACCACTGATTGAGCTTACAACTTTCATTTTCTATATGAAGTTTATCATAAAGAATATGACATAGTCTCTAGACCCTTAGATGCATGATCCATTTTTTGCCACTGTTTCAAAATTATCAGATTGTATGACATATACATAGCCATATATACATATATGTATGTATATATATGCACCTCATAGTTTATAAAGTACTTTGAGAACTTAGTCCTATTTTTAATGTCTAGGGAGACATAGGTAATAGAAGAACCCTCCCCTCCTTTGTATTTTAAACCGTCCTGAGGTCATGTAATTGTAAACCAAGTTTCTTCACTGGCGCAGTTAGAGCAAACACAGAGATGTGGGGATGTCTGGAGCAAATGCATGTTTTCTGTTGGTGAGCTTCCTGTGGTGGCGGAGGGCAGTACTATTGGGGCCAGTGTTTCCTGTAGCTGTCCATTTAAGGAGCTCAGAATTATTCTTGTTACATGTATAGAAATACACCCGTTATCTGAAATAGTGCTCTTAAAATAAGCAGGGAAAAGGAAATTGTGTTGGTTGATGCAATTACACAGAGTAAAACAATGAAGTTGGTGACCCAGAGTGGTTGGATATTGGGTGACCTTTTCTCATCTATTCTGATAAATCTCTACAGTGTATTTGCACCACACACACACACCAAATACACAGGATACTGCACTGATTACTTCTTTTCTTTCCAAGGATTGAAGAAAGAGGTGGCGGCTTTTTTCATCATGATGTTCACCCTTATAATGGTCGCTTACACGGCCAGTTCCATGGCACTGGCCATAGCTGCAGGTCAAAGCGTGGTATCTGTGGCAACCCTTCTCATGACAATCTCTTTTGTATTTATGATGGTGAGTATGGACAGTGCTTCTCCGAGAAGACAATTCTTGCCTTGTTTTCTCTGAATATTTATCTGTTGCAGAAATCTGCTTTGGGGATTCTTTCCATTAGGACTGTGACACTTTGAGAAATCCAGATGCTCAAATAAAGTGACTATGAGGAAAAGTAATGGCTTTCCACCTAACCTCTATCAAGTCCCTTGTATTGCTACTTAATGTTGCTGTGACTTCGCTAACATTTCCTCACTGATAAGCTTTTGAAAGATGATTTTTAGCCGGGTGTAGTGGTGTATGTCTGTAATCTGGCACTTAGGAGTATGGCTATGTGTTCAAGCCAAGCCTGAGGTCCACAGTGAAACCCTGTCTCAAAATTGCTGACATTGAACCCACTGCATCTTGTGAGTTTATTGTTATTCAGTAAACTCTGGTATAATGGAAAGTGGGGGCGGGGGAGTCACAGAAATGGAAAAAATACTTCTTGCTGATGTTAGACAACCTTGGTAAATAGAAAATTGAAAACAGACATTGTCATTGACTCCTTGAAAAATGACAGCATATCCTTCATTTTGTCTACCAATTAGTAACCAGAAATGATTGAGTTGAATTCATGAAAAAGGGAAAGTGAAGCTCGTAGGAAGTGTAATTGTGTACCAAGGAGTCTATCTTGGGTCCCTCTTGTGTTTTGACTATTAAGTGTTTTAAAAATAGTTTAAAAAACAAAGAAGCCAGCATGGTAGTGTAGGTAGTGTATGTTCATAATCTCAATCTCAGTCCCTGGGATATCTTAGAGGTAGAGGGAACAGGAAATTGAAGTTATCTTTAGCTACATAGTAAGTTTGAGGGTAGTCTGGGCTGCCTGAGACCATGTCTTTAAGAAGAAAAAGCTAGAGACTTTCAAAGTCCACCTACCTTCAGTAGATACCTAATTATTTCACATTGCTAGTTTAATGATTCCTCACTCCTAATAGTGCATGTCTCAATTTTGCTCTCAAGTGATAAAAGGACCAGCTCCCATGTCTTTCTCCTACATCATTAAATAGGAACAGCTAGCACACTGACACAGGGTCCTCTTCACTAGAGGAGGCTGTCTTTCAGTGAGCCGCCATTAGTTGAAGTCTTGCTAAGTGTTATAAATAGGACTTTAAAGCCAGTCATCAGTCTGTATTCACCCAGATGGTATGTCATATAATCGGTACT